ATATCTAAATCCAAAAGTGTTCCATTTATAATCCAAAATTAGTTCAATATTCAAATGCTTGTATAATTCTAAAGTATTCAATTCAACTAATTTAACAAATATACTATTATCTGGCTTATATAATAATTCTTTAAATAATGAATATTTAGTTTTGTATAGTTTGTATGTAAGTAATCCAGGATATGGAATTATTAATCTTACACAAGGTTTAAAATCATATCTCTTATAACTTCTGTATAGCTTCATTATAAATATTCCAAAAAATGTAAAAATTCCAAATATTATAAATATTATAAATATAATAAAGTATTTAGATATTCTAAATATTCTGAACCTTCTAAACTTAAACCATTTATCTTTAGAAATAAAGTTTTCATTAACCATTGCACTATAAACAATCATTTCATTAAAAATGTTATCACTGAATGGAAATAATATCATTGAAGTTTGATTAAAGAATTTTGATAATTTTTTGATGATTTTTTTGTAATATTGGTAATTCTGATATAATTATTTTTAATAAAACAATATTTGTAGTATCCTTTTTAAAATATTTAAGACAGGAGTCAAATAATACTTCTACAAGCATGCTATCATTTACTTTTAATGCTAATCCTAAAAATTTCTCTCCATGTTTGAAATTATATAAATCATCCAACATATATAAAATCATTTCTTTATAAGGTTGTCTGGAAATTTGATGTCTATCAATATATGAATAATCATCTTCAGTAACATTATTAAAATTAAATAAATAGTCTTCAATGTTATTCTTTTCTATAGTTGTTTTAATTTGTTCTGATGAATGATCATAATAAAAGTAAGTTTTTTTAATATATTTTGTAAATATTTTAAAATTTTGATTATTAAATGACAAAATGTGCACATATTTATCTGTTATTAAAATTAAATCATAATTATTTAGTAATTGACAATATTTAAGGTATTCCTTACCCAAAAGACCATATTCATCAATTGTTGGAAATTCTTCTTTTATTTCATTATCAACTTTTTGAGCTTTTATATTGATATCTTGAAAATAATCATCATGCTCTAGTGCCCATTTAATAGTTTTTCCTGTTTCTATATCAAATTTATTTAGTGCTTTATAATCCTTGCCACCAAGTTTTTTATATATTTCACTTAATGTTTGTCCTATATATAAATATAAATAATAACTATCTTTTATACATATTTGTTGAAAAGTGCCTAGTTTTTCTTTATTAATAATTTCTTTGATGTAAATTTGATTGCTAATAACCATAACTATTTTATTATCTGGTATGGTTGGTCCAAATATGATATCATTTTTATCTTTATATTCTTTATGTGTATTTTCTATAGATTTATCTAAATTATAAGGATCTGTTAATTTATAAATGTAATTATTTATATTTTTATCATAAAATATTCTAATTGACTTTTTTTTATATAAATAAATTCTAATTTCTTCATAGTGATATCTTTTTCCAACTTAATTGTAAGATAAAAAATAATTAAATAAACAAATAAAGAAAATAAAAAAGAAAAAAAGCTAAATAATACTTACATGAAGAAATAATAATATTATGTTTTATTGAGTAAACTATTATTTTTGAATTATTTTTATAATATAATGCCATTATTGTTTTGTCTTGATTAAATATTATATCAGTATGATCTTTTTTACATATTAAATAACAATTATCTTGATATGATATAGTTGTTGGCTTCAATTTCCATTGTGATAATAATGAACATTGATCACTTAATAGAAAATAACCAGAATTTACAAAATAATTTATGTCCCCATAATAATTATAATGAATTTTATATCTTGATTTATGAACTAATTTATCATTTCCGTTATCACTTATATATAAAAAATTGTATAAATAATTCCATGATTTTATTATAAAATCATTATTTGTAATGAAACCCCCAACATGTCCAAAAAAAGATTCATTTGAATAATCATATGTTTTTTTTTTTGAAAAGTCAAGTAATCCTATAGAATTGGTTTAAATGATGCAAATTATTGTTATTATTTATTGTTTATACTTACACTCCTGATCAAGTATATATTTATTATCTGAAACATCAATTATATGCTCTTGAGAATATTTAAAATAATTATCTTGGTCATCTTGTTGAATTGTTCCTTTTTCAAAATCAACTGTCCATCCAGCAATAGATTTGTCTTGTTTACTAAGAGTTACTAAAAACTTACGATTAGGACTACACTTTATTTCATCAATGGGATATCCATTATGTGCATTAATTATAGTTTGTTGTTCAATAGCAATAACATTGATATAATTTCCGGCCAGATTTTTAGTATTATTTTCTGATATTTCATCTTTATCTACTTCCTTGACTGTCACTACTTCTATGCAGTCATCACTCATTTTTATAAAAGAATAAATTGAACAAAATATATTAGAATTTTTTAAGAAATATAAGAAGGGTAAAAAATATATATTCTACTTTTATAAATAAAATAAAATATCTAGATACTTATTCGCTATTATTATTATAATAATAAATTTTTTTTGGCAATAATCAATAATAATAAGCAGTGTTAGAAATTGAGTGCTGAGGTTTGTGTTACATATTGAATTTAGCCAATCAAATTTGTTCTTCTGGTAGAAATTTTAACGTTGATTGGCTAAATTCGATATGTAACACAAACCCCGCACTCAATTTCCAACACTGGTATTATCCGTTGCAGATTAAATGCCGCAAAACCCAAATGGTGTAAAGAAGAGGAGTATATCAAAATACAAAAGACTGTAAAATGACATAGCATTATTGATCATCTAGAGTTTGTTACAAAATTACTTAAAATGTACTATTTGTTATTTTAATGTTGTTATGTGGTTGGCATTCTTGAATAAAACCATCAATTATCTTGTTTCCAGATGTCCAAGTACTGAAAAGGCTCTGTAAGTGTAGACTAATGCACTTTTCGCAATATTTATCAGAGTATCTTGTTGTTTTACAATTATTGTCTCTTGGTTCACCATATCTATTAATTGTGTTATCTAATTCAAAGGAATAAATAACCCTTCTTCTACAATATTCCTTTTCATTTTCTAAGTTTCTTTGATTAATTGCAAAAAGTAACTTTTTCTATTTTCTCTGTCAGGAGCAGTTGGGGAAGCAGAACGAGCAACATCATTCATTTCATTACAAATTTTAGCTACTAATTTTCTTCTATCTCATGTTATAATTTAGTGAAGGACATTTTATTAAAATAAGTGCTTACAAAATAAGTTTTGTACACATGTATGGTATATTTATTTTACGAAATTTAATATTGCAAGAGGTTTTAAATGCCCATCTACACACACGCATTCAATATCATTTAAGATAGTTTTGATAAATGCTTTTTGACTCAAATCTTCTTGCAGAGGGATCAAGTGTCCAAATGTAGTGATATATGAGACCATTTAGATAGGACACAAGAGATTTAAATGCCAATTACAGTTTGTTCTTTGTGATTTAGATGGTTTTGATTCCGCATCTTTTTTTATTGGTACCGTCACAAATACAAACAGGAAATTGTCTTCTTTCAAGTTTTTCTGATCTAAATCCTTGTTGTTGTGCTCATTGTTTAATATACTTAATACTAATTTTCCAAGCTGGCAATGCATACTAGAATCCAATTTTATGTTAGCTTCAACATCGGCTCTTACTCCTCCTCTCTCCCCAGTAACATCGGGAATGTTCTATAAAAACTTGATGGTTGGTATAAATTCATTCATAATTAATATTAGTACATTATAGTTTTTAATGGCTGAAATTATTAGTTTATTTTTTTTTTTTTGCATATTAAAAATCTTGTGTGTAGAATGCATTTGTGTGCATGGCGCAAAAAAAAATAAAAAATATACATAAATTATAATATATAAAAATAGATCATGAATATTTCTCTTGTGAGAATTAATTAGTTATCTGCTGTCTCTAGTACCAGCAAGGGTCAATTCACGTGCAATTGCATTTCTTTTAACTGATGCTATCCAACCACTCAAATCAGCATTTATTCTTCTACCAATTGTAGCAAGTGCAGTTTGTAAATTGACAGCAACTTCTTGGTATTTTTGATTGGTTGCTTGACTAGATGATACTCTGAGCGCTATCAAGAATGCTCTTCTTAATGTTTCTCCTACTTGAAGTAAAGTCAGAGCATCACTTCTAATAGCTGGATTTCTTTCCAAGTTAAACACATCAACAAGTACATCATAGATAAATCCACTGAATACCTATTAAAGATAGTTTTTTAAAAAAATTAATAATCATCATAGATACATATGTGTATATATATATATATATTAATTAATTAATTATTATTTATTACCAAAGACATTGCATGTACTTCACTCTCAACTGTTGAACCTTTTTCATCATTTATTAAGTTTCTTAAACCTTTACCCTTATTCTTGTACAAATAATCGCCAAATTCTTCACCAATAGCCGACAAGAAATTATCAGTGTCTCTAAGATTTGATTTTGTAAAAGTGATCAGATTATCTACCAAATCTGGCATTGAAAGAGTGACAAACATTGAACACAAATCACCAAACGCTTCATGAAGAGCTCCGGTCTGACCATCAGACAACCAGCCTTGTTGTATTGTATCAAGGAAAAGGTGACCTGTCTCATGAGCTACAATATCAAGTGATCGACAAAGATATATTGGAGTTTGTCCTGGTCTTGGTTCATAAAGAAATCTCAATACTCCCTCCCCCCTGGATGGAATGAAATTGGTTCCAGAGTGTGGTTGTATTACTAATTTTTTGTTTCCCCATGGTCTATTAAGTGTTGGTGGTTTGCCATCAAGATACTCGAGATCACCTGTTAATAAACCAAAAGTGTATTTGACAACAGCAAAAGTGTGCATAACATCAAATTTGACTTGTTCGGCTGATGGTGGTGGAGTTTGAGAGTTGTCTTCAATAAAATTCAGTAGGAAATCACCATTTACATCAGGAGCAATTGGTCCAGAAGTTGAACTGGTGATGAGCAGTGAGTCGGTTGGGCCGGTGGTGATATCAGATCCAGGAAAGTAAAGCGATCTGATACCGATTGATTTAACGAAAGGATCGGCTTTCCATATATTTATTCTTGAACCTTTACCAGCTGGTGGAGCTGCTGAGACCAAGGCTGTTTGAGGTAATCTTGATGCTAAATATTGTGCACTCCTACATTATTACATAATACAGAAATATGTGTGCGGTTAGGAAGAGAATATGACAATTAAACAATCCACTAATTGTAATGTTAATTAGATGAATGAATTAATTATAGTTAATTGCCTTGAATAAATGTTTTGATCATAATCAAATAATGCATAGACCAATTTTTTTGGATCTTTTAAATCATAATTTATAGTAGCAGATCCATTCTTTAATGGATCAATTTGAAGGTATTTTCCATTATTACCAATGATAACAGATTTCTCAATAAAATCTATCAAAATAATTATAATAATTATTGTTAAAATAACAATAATAACAACAACAATAATAATATCTAACATAATCAATCATTAGTCACACAAAAACATATATTACCAGGATGAGGAACAAACATAAACAATTGTTCGGATTTAGGGGCAACTCCTTCATGAGTTGTTTCTCCATTTGTAAATGATAAATCACCATGTTGATCGTTGGTGAGTGTTAAAAATTGACCTGATGAATTCTTCCATGCGACTAATGGTAAAGTAACTGATGGGGAAAGAGAGAAAGAAAATTAATATTGTTTTTAATAATGATAATAAAAAATATTTTATATTATCAAATATATATATATATATATACCTAATCTTAAATCTTTAAGGAGTGAAGGATATTCGATATTCAAATTATCTCTTGTATAACCAATAGAATAATTATAAGTCAATGGATCCTCGACAAGCAATACAGCTGAACGATCCCAACTATTTTGTGCACTATAAATCAAATTACGATATAAATATGCGCAGATTAATTATATCATATAGATATCATCATAAAATTTACATACATTTTACCAGAACGAATTTCATTTCCATCATAAACTCCAAGGCGAACTTTATATTTTTTATTGTACAATGAATAATATTTACCATGGTTTTCTAATAATAAAGTTCACGTGATTAAATATATAATGATCACATGATTTGAACAAATATAAAAAATAAATAAATACCGATTCTCCATTGTTGAGCAGGATTACTAAGATCGTAAAGATCTTTGACGACTGAGCCATCGGCTTTCATTGTTAGAGCACGTTTATTTTGATCGATGAATCCGAAATAACGATAGACTGAACTAATTGGTGCTGCAGAGACATTTCCGGCTACAATGAATTGAGGGCTGTTGGCTGACGTGTTGATTCCGAAATTGAGTTTATTTTGATTCAGAACCCAAGAAGTATTTGCTAATAAATTTTTTTGGATTAAAAAAAAATAACACCAATATTAACATGCATACACACGCACATTCTACGCATTAACATATAATCACCAAATTTTCCAGTTAGTTCGGGTTCGAAACCACTTAAAGCAGGGTCGTAAGGTCGTCTTGATTGAGCCAAAGAGCTGACATCACTTCCGATTCTTTTTATCTCTTCGCCTTGATCGAAAGCATTTTCTCTTGACCAGCCAGCCAACTGATCATAGAAATCGGAGATGTAAATTGGGAAATTGATACTCAAATCCTTTATGACATTTTGCGGAAGAATACCAGGTGACCAGGTACCAGTTGCAACTCTGGAAATCAATTGGGCTATTTTATCACCGGTATCGACTAATTGTTCATGATGAACTTTTAAACTTGTGACTAAATCATTGGTGATATCACTGGAAAGTTGTTTCTCCCAATCTTCGGATGCTCGGAATAATACTTGATCCCGGTGGGATTCTTGAACGCGTAGAACTAAACTTTCGACATGAAATTTATCAAAATCTTTGGTGATATAATGATTTGCGTGAGTTGGCATCATAAAAAGTTCTGATTAGAATTAAACTATAATTAGAATAATAATTATTATTATTAGGGTTGATATACAATTACTAATATGGTAATTTTAATAATACAAATTTTCAAAGTTTTTGATGAAGAGGCGAAACAATATCGTTTATATAATAACATTTTTCAATAGCTACGTCATAATTAATTAATAATAAACACAATCCTCGCAAGAATTGAACCTGTAATTTTTGTGTAAAGCGCAGAATTTAGAATTTATTTATTGTTATTAATTAATCAGGAAAATCCAGGACTTAAATGGTATTTTATTGCAAGTTTTGCATTTGTTTGTTTCAGGTAAATAATTTTTGTAACGAGTTTCTGATTGAAATGGTAATTCAAACTCAACCAAATATTTATTTTATTTGTTTGTTTTTCTTTTTTATTAAAAATTCGTGTAATTCTTTTTAATAAATAGATATTCCAGCAAGGACAAGACATCAAAGATGGGCTCAACACTTAAATTTAGTTCCTTGGTTGGCCGTTATCACCGCGCCTGTGTTATTGAATTAGGGAAAGAAATAATGGACATTATTCATCCCTTAAAGGTATAATATAGTCGCAGACAATTATAATTGAGGTCATATGCTCTATTCCAGAAAAATTATTTCCCCATCATCTATCTATCTATCTATGACTAATCTTTACTTTATATATCCTATCAGGGTAGAAATGACGAAACCCCAAAATTTGGCCCTGTTACATTAAATGGCTATATCTCAAGTTCTAATCGATACATCTATAAGATCTTGGTGGTGTCAAAGGTTCTTCCATTTAAAAGCTTGCTTTTTTTTACTATGTGTGATAAATCATGTGTTAGATACTGTGTAAAGCTTTACAACATGTTAACAATTATAATCACTATGCAAAGTGGGCATGGTTTCTAATCCAAGAATGTCCCATCTAAAGAATTGCATATAAGAGTTGTGTTAACTCGAAATCATGATTTTCAACGTTGTATAGAAAAGACACCTTTTCGTAACGACTTAAGGTCATAAATTTTCAATTACTGGCAATAATAATAAGCAATCAATTTTTAACATGTTTTCCCTTTTTTTTGACAAGTTGTTTGCTTTATTCACGGAGAGTTTTATTATAAAATAGGATTTTCATATTCTCGGGATTGCTAGTACACGGAAGAATACAACATAAACAAATAACAAGTATCTGGCAACATTCTCTAAAAAAATATTAGCTATTGGTTCCTTGGTTTGTTGTGACGAATCATCCTTTTTCATAAAATATTTATGTGAAAAATTTGAATCCAAAGATTCTGTATTATTATTATTATTATAGACAGCAATATGATTGACCTACAGATCCAAAAAAGGAAGCTAATTGTTATTAAAAATGGACATTATTCAAAGGCATTAAATCAAGCGAGGAAATAAATATCTGCAATAAAATATGACCGTGCATGAACCGTCTCGATGAATTCTGCCTATCCCTAAATCGTTTGAGAGAAAAGAGAATGGAGCATTCCTTTTGCTCCAGGAATGAGAGCTGTTAGACCCCTGTGGTGTATTTACTGAATGGGCACATAGGTAGACTATTACATACAGAATTCAAAGCAAATGGGTCCTGTTCAAATAAGCGTAAAGAATAAGCTCTGTCGACGCATACTTCGGATATACAAAGAAATTCTTGACTGATGTCATTGAAAATTGGCAAGAATGTATATGCGAAAACCATCATTATAGACAAATGTTGACCTGGCCACATTACCAATTTAAACAAATATTTGCTCTATAAATATATTACGAAAACAGAACCTTCCCTTGTTTGTAAACAATTTATTTTGTACAATAAAAAAAATGTGGCACATATTACTAAATTTGATCTTCATAGACGATACAAGATTACAAATCTTTTCTTTTTTAAATAAAAAAATGAAAGCGATAAAAAATCTTCATTTAGACAACATTACAAATGACCTTCGACGCAACCTTAGTTCAGTAAATACTAGAGGTTTATATTATTCCATTTTGGCAAATTTTGTTTGTTTTATATAATATTATTTAATTCATTATATTATATTGCATAAAGCAAACAGCGATACCAAACATTTAAATAAATTATTGACATCGGAGAGAGGAGTATGGAATGCATTAAGTACTTTAACTTTGGAACAAAATGAAGCAGCAAAGTATTTAAATATTTGGGGAAGAAGCGAAGATGTTGATTTGGCTGATGTAACAGATAAAGTTGGTACTTTATTAGTAAAAATATCAGAAGCCGAAGGAATTTTAGGTATTGTTAAATAAAAATTATTTGGGAATTATAATAATTATAATTTTATCATAACCATAATTATATTTATAAAATCGCAGCTAATAAACTTGCACAATATCGTGCACAATTGAAAGAAATACGTACCAGAGAAGATAGAATGAAGGAGCAACGTAGTAAAAAAGAAGCATTATGGAATAAAATTGAAAGAGAAGAACGTAAACCAAAAAGATCAGATCTCGCCGAACAAAAATTAAGCGAATTACATTCTGAGTTGAATAGAGCTGAATCAGAAAGTCTTGAAGGTAAAAAATAAAATAAAAAATAAACTGATAAAAAAATTATTTTTATTTTTAGCAAATGAAAAAGTAGTTAATAAATTAAATTAATATTTCGGGGTGATGTTTTTATAGAGGAAACAGCTTTGGCAGACTTTAAGAGACAAAGACTGAGAGATGCTTTAACATTACAATTGGAATCATTTTATGAATTTGGAGAAAAATTAATAATGATTACAGGATTTTGCAAAGAAATTGTTGATCAAATTCCTATAGAAACCACTACACCTGGTGAACCGAGAGCTCCTTATTATGGTATTAATATATATCTATATATGTATTATTTTTTTTGGAAGTTGAAAGGAGAGATTTTAAAGTGGTGAATTAATTATTATTATTATTTCTTTCTTTTTTTTTTTTAAAAAAAAGGAAAAGATAAAACAACAACATCATTTTCAAATTGTATTTCATCTCTTTCTTCATGGACAACACCACAAGAACTTTATCCAATAGTTCCACAAAGAACACACGCCGGTGGCACTTTACAATTAGAATATAGGCAACAACCTCAAATTGATAATAATATCAATAATAATTTTAGTAATTTAAATAATTTGCAACCACAAAATACATCATATCAAACTGTACCAACCACCACCACATCACCATCTGCTTTTGTGAGTTGTTTCTTTTTTCTTTTTTCTCACTGTTGACTTGGATCACCATTTGTAGATACCTCATTTCTTCTTCTATCACTAAAAATAGCAGTAAAATAAATGAGTAAATAAATAAAATAATATGCAATAATTTCTCAATTACCTTTTTTTTGTGTATTTAATAATTTCTCTGCAATTAGGCTTTGAATTGATTTTAATTGATTCAACTCGAATAGTGATATATTGATCTATTGGTAAATTTCTTTTTTTTATGTCCATATTTTTCACAATGTTATTCTCAACTTCAACTGTAGCTGTAGCATGTCTTGTATGGCTTTTTACAGAAGGAATTATATCAGACCAAAATAATATAGTATTCCACCATGTACTTTTAAAGTATTTTTGTAATGAAGGGTTATATAAAGGGTTTAATACTAGTTGGTTAACTGTATCATATTTTATCACTTTTACATTTATGTTTAAAGTGGGAAAATTAATTGTATAGTTTTTGTTTTTTTTCCAAAATTAAAAATAATAAATCATTATTGATCTTATAATTCCGTTGATTAATCAATGGAGTTATTACTTCATCATAATCATCTTCATCACTTCCTTCATCACTCAAATTTTGTATATCAAATTCATTAGAAATATAATCATCATTAAAATGAAAAATGTCTTATAAATGACAAATTTTTTTCTAAATGAATGTTTGTTTCTCTTAACTGAAAAAATTCCTGGTTTAGAAACCAATTCCAGTTTCCTATTTCATTGATTGCACCAACAAGTGTTGCATTGATTCTAATTTTATTCCACATTTTCACTGCAAATCTTGAAATGGGGTTTTTTAAAATATTATATTCTTCGGACTTAAATTTGTTAGATCTTGTATAATTTTTAACTGCATTGATACAATGTGAATAACACCAAGCAATTACTATTTTTTCAGGATTAATTTGTTCATTATTAATTAAATTTTTTAGTATTCTTTCATTGTACTGCTTTATTGTTTCATTATTATATGCTGCTAAACAAGCAACTAAAATATTTTTTCCACAATTAACTAAATAAGGTACTGCCTTAGAATTATATATTTTAAATTCATCATCTCTCAATTTATTTATGTATCTTGTTAAATTACTTGCTGTTAGGTCATTGGTGGCTAACTCCAAAATATCTATTGGTGGTGCATCAGATCCAGTCCCTGATGCCATTGTCATGAGTGCATTTATTATTTTGGGATGTTTGCTTGAATCATCTTGATTTTTCATACATAAATATGGAGGTACAGGCTTAATGAGTTGTCCTGTATAATCTATAAATATGCCAGGATTTCTTGAAGCATAAAGATGATAGTATTTCAAGAGATGCTTCATTATAAAATGCTATTGAAAGTGGTTGTGTTTGTATTGGTTCTTGAATATATCCCATTAATTTTCTTTTCTTTAATGAATCCATCCCATTTTTTTTAATATAATCACCATGTTCTGCTTGATTTGCTTTCATAATTGCTACATGCATTTTTTCAAGTAAATTACATTCCTCTGATGCATTTGCATTCGATTTGATGGTTCTAGAAACATTTGCTGAAGGAATATTTTGTCTATTACCAGTGAATCTTATTTCAGCATCAAGATCCTTTAATACTTTTTTCCTAATGTCTTGTGGTTGACCTTCAACATTAGCCAACTCTTCTCTAATAATACCATGGCATTGTCCATATGTTGTTCCAGAAATACAATGACATATTCTATGATTACTTGAGTACTTGACAATAATGGTGATATCATTTTGCTGATTTATTAAATTGCTTTTTGAAATATACAAATTAAATGATGTTCTCTCTTTTTTAACTTTACAACCACTACAATAAATGTATTTACTTAGAAATTTTTTAGAATCATTGCTGGTTTTTTTATTGCAATTGCAATTTGAGGTGGAAATTGTTTCTGTTCTTGTAAGTACCAACTTAGCCAAACATTTGTAATATTTGATGGCCTCCAAATTAATTTTTCACCTTCCATCATTATTAAATTGTCAAAGACATCTTTACATTGCAATTGAAATGAAAAGTCTTTACATTCTTCATATTCAATTATGTTACCAAAAGTTTTTACATTAGACATTACTTTTTTTTCATCTATGCCTATTAAAAATCCAACCAAATGTTTATTATTTTCTATAGTTGTAGGGTCATTTTTTATTGCAATTATGTCCTTTTCATCTTCGTTTTTTTCATAATACTTTTTCCATCTATTAATTATCCATTCTAATCCTTTGACTTCTGGCCAGATTCTTATGTCATTTTCTGCTTTTAATAGAAAATCTTGATTTTCTTTGTTAGCTTTTTTTCAATACTTTTATTTCTATATCAATTTTCTAATGCAAAAACTATAACTGGGCATGTTGGACCTGGTCCTAAATTGAAAGGTTCTTCCATTAATGCTTCTTTTAACCAATAAAAATCATAATCACTGTTGTTTTTAATTGTTGAACCACTGTCATCACTTGTATCAAGAAAGTATTTTTTTGCTTGATTCAATCTGTAAAATTAAAAATATAATTATTGTTTGTTTATTTCAGTTATTTCAATAGTTTGAAAATAATAATTGTTAAATATAACTACCTTTCTATCTTTTAGAAAACATGGTACAAAATGATTTGGAATAAATTGATTTTCAATTAAGACTGTATCTGCTTGTATTTTTGTTTTAATTGATGTATTAAATAAAGGCTGTTCAAGAATAATAGTAGCAATTTTGCCAGATAATTGGGTCACACATGGTTGGAATGGTTTAATTTCCCAGTTATATATGTAATAGTTTTGTGTGACATTTGACAAATGGAATCTCCTTGTATGCTGTATCTCGACATCACCTACGTTTTCACTTACTGCTCCATAGATATCTATTTTTTTTTTAATTTTCTTTTTTAAAGAACATACCAAAAATAAAAACACCGCCACCTTTTCCTTCACAGTTGAAATTTTATTCATACAAGTTCTTCCAAGGTTGCCAGAAACCGTTTATATCAGGTTTTGTCAATTGTTAGAAAATGAAGATGAATTCCATGTTTTTTTTGCAATCATGATCTCATGTTGAATATTTAAAATTCGCGTTGGAAAAGTTGATCAGAAACTACACAATCTTCGTTGCTATCTGATTAATTAATAAAATTTCAATTTTCTCGCAAGTAATAGTAATTTATTCCCCTTGATTTAACGGTTTAACGAATGCCTGGAATAAAAAACTGGGAGAAGGAAAGTACAATTATGTAAATATGGGTCGCAATTTGTAATCAGGTCTCACCCTGCGGTTCCTTGTCAGTATGTAGGACGTCACAAGTGACTGTTGACAAAAATAGAGTATGATGACAGCAAGTTCAACTTGATATACTGAGAGACAAGTATTTACGAGTAGGATTATAAACTGACTCGATCATAGCGCCATTTCTTAAGGTATACTGGAAGCAACTAAAGCAACAGTTAAACTAACAACGGTCAACAGATTATGGATGCCATTAAAGAGAATTTTGATTACCGCTAAATGTTTTCAATTGTTGGTCAATTGATTTATCGTTATGATTGAGTTATATTAAGAGTAGATTAATTAGTGCACGATTTTATTGTGCAAAAACGATTCTGCAATGATAATTGTTCACGTCGCCGCCATCGAATGATGACAATAATGATGGAAACAAATCGCCAGTTCAAACTAATAAATTTTATACAAATTTATTAGTTGATAATGGAATTGGTCCTGTAAAAATTTGGAAGCGATCATTTAGTATAGTCGAGAAAAATAAAGTTGAGACCGGATCCAGAAACAGATCACGTTAGATTTTTCTAAAGTTCGTCTATTCCAAGTATAACGATGTCTTCTAATGGATTGTTGTCGTCGTCAGAAGAATTTAACGTCGACCAACCAATTTCTCAGTTTTCGATCCTCAAGAATTTTCTGTTTACTTCCAGAACTAACAATAAAATAATACTACCGCTGCTGTCGAGCAGCAAATTATTAACCTACTAATTGTACGTGATATGGTGTTTGTCACGGCTGAATATGTTAATAAAATAATGCTGTCAGGAATAATCATTAAATATTAACTAATAAAGATGATGATAGAATGTTGCAGAGTAACAAAGATGATAATTCAAAGACGACGGTATTTAATGGAATTGCAAAATTCTCAAATTCCGACGATGACGATGAAATTGTTAATATTAATATTAATATTTATGATAAAAGTGTTGGAGCTTACGCTACAGGGGCTGATTATTTGTTCATCAATAATTTATTATATTTTGATTGATATTCTTTTAGAAAATTTAATACTTATTATACATTTAATTGGTGGAGGAATTACTGATGATGGCAATAAAATCAATTCCACTGACAACGGGCTATTACTTCATTTCGCATTAGTGTTAGCATATAAACAGTCAAGTTCGCTATCAAAAGGTCAGATGACTGTACTTTGGCGGAATAAGAATTATACAAACAAATAATATTAAAACAAGCAAGATTAATATTGAATTATTGGATACAATGTATTTTCTAGTAATAAAGTTGCTTTATTTTGTATAAAATATTTGTAACGTCATAAGACTCTTTATTTAATTAACTATAATAAAAAAAAACATTATTCTCAAAAAATCAAAATTGAATTTTATATTTTATGTTTTTATATAATGTTTATCTATATATCCTCGTATACAATATTTTTTGTACATGACAAATAAATAATAATAAATGTTATGATAATTAATAATTAAATATAATTAAAATATTTTAATTAATTACGGAATTTCATTTTCAACATCACTAAAAGTAACATGTTTTGCAGATCCATTGCTTCCTGGTATTGGAAGAAGATTGACATTATCACCATAATGACCATCATCCTTTATTGGTAATGACGATACAGTATTGGTAGCAATGCTAGAGGCAGGAGCAATATTGGCGGCAGTAGTTGCTGCCGATGATGGTGCTGAATTATCATTTATGAATGCAGATGGTTGTTGTGTAGGTGATGATGTAGGTGATGATGGATTCATTTGTCTCAGTGCTTCCAAAACCATATTGACATTTTTAGATTGATTAATGCCACCAATATTTGAATATTCAATTGGATTTGGTGTTTGTTGTTGCTGCGATGTTTGTTGTTGTTGCGATATTTGTTGTTGTTGCGATGTTTGTTGTTGAATTATTTGTTGTGCTAATTGCTGCACTAGCATTTGCATTTGATCCGGTGTTAATTGATTCATTAATCCGTGTGTTAGTTGTTGCGTTCGTCGCTCTACATTATCACCTTGTGTTTGTGTTTGTTGTTGTGGTGGTGGAAGTTGTTGCTGCTGCTGTTGTTGTAGATGCGGTGGCAGTTGTTGTAGTTGCTGCTTTTGCAGTGGAATTTCTTGTAGGTGTTGCAGTTGCTGTAGATGTGGTGGCAGTTGTTGATATTGTAGTTGTTGTTGTTCTGGTTGTGGTTGGTATTGTGGTTGCAGCTGATATTGTTGTGGCGATGGTTGTTGTTGTGATTGATATTGTGGTTGTTCTAGTTGTGGTGTTGTTGCGGCCGAATTTGTTGGTACAACAGATTGTGTGGCATTGGTTTGTTGTAGTTTATCAGCACTGTCCCTATTATCATCAGACGATGAATAATCACTAACAGACGGTGAGGTTGATCCTCTACCAACATTAACATCATTATTGTTAACATCATTATTATAATTAGTACCACCAATATTATTGGTATTTGTTATTTCTTTGAATCTTGAATTTTTTTCATAGTTATCATCATCGGTTTGGTTATCAACAATATTCAATTTATCACTTTCTGCATCTGTTGGTTGTTCCAAATCGCTATGATCAGCTTCATTTGGATCTTCAAAGTACTTTTTAGCAACAAGGTTGTTGTTGTTATTATTGATTAAGGATGATGAGGGCAATGAAAGTTCATTATTTTCTGATATAGTTAAAGTTGAGGGATATAATGGTTGTTGCTGTTGTTGCTCTTGAGTTATTTGTTGTTGTTGTTGTTGTTGTTGTTGTTGTTGTTGTTGTTGTTGTTGTTGTTGTTGTTGTTGTTGTTGTTGTTGTTGAGGCGGTGATTGTTGTTGTTGTTGTTGTTGTTGTTGTTGTTGTTGTTGAGGCGGTGATTGTTGTTTAGAAGAAGAAGGAGGAGTAGAATCTAATTGTGACCCATCACGTTGATGTGGTGACTGTTGCATAGAATGAGGAGGAGTAGAATATAATTGTGGCCTATCATGTTGATGTGGTGACTGTTGCATAGAAGAAGGAGGAGGAGTATATAATCTTGACCCATCATATTGTTGAGCCGTTTGTTGAAGCAATTGTTGGGGTACTTGTTGGGGTACTTGTTGAGGTACTTGTTGAGCCGTTTGTTGAGGTACTTGTTGGGGCACTTGTTGAGGTACTTGTTGCTGAGCTGATTCTTGAGTTGGTTGATAAATTTGCTGTTGAGGCAATAGTTTGGTAGCCATATTTTGTTGAGACAAGTCTTGTGATAAATTTTGAGGAGTAGTGGGTAAACGTTTATCATCATAATTAGCTTCATGATTTGTTGTTGACTCTGAATATTGAGGTTTAAAAATTGGCGATGCATTAGCAGCAGTAGTAATTGGTACAGCTTGATATGGTGGTACATTTTGCGGTTGTAAATTATTTGAATTGCCAAAATTGTTGTTGTTGTTATTATTATTATTATTATTATTATTATAACTAATCTCATGATTTGTTTTTGACTCTGCATATTGAGGTGGAAAAACTGGAGCAGATGGTGATGTGGTGGTGGTTGGTACAGTTTGATATGATGTATTTTGTGGTTGCAAATTATTTAAATTACTAAAATTATTATTGATATTATTATCAATTTGAGGTTGTTGCCTATATTCTAATTGTAAAGTGCCACCGGCGTGTGTTCTTTGTGGAACTATTGGATAAAGTTCTTGTGGTGTTGTCCATGAAGAAAGAGATGAAATACAATTTGAAAATGATGTTGTTGTTTTATCTTTTCCTTTTTTTTAAAAAAAAAAAAGAAAGAAATAATAATAATAATTAATTCACCACTTTAAAATCTCTCCTTTCAACTTCCAAAAAAAATAATACATATATAGATATATATTAATACCATAATAAGGAGCTCTCGGTTCACCAGGTGTAGTGGTTTCTATAGGAATTTGATCAACAATTTCTTTGCAAAATCCTGTAATCATTATTAATTTTTCTCCAAATTCATAAAATGATTCCAATTGTAATGTTAAAGCATCTCTCAGTCTTTGTCTCTTAAAGTCTGCCAAAGCTGTTTCCTCTATAAAAACATCACCCCGAAATATTAATTTAATTTATTAACTACTTTTTCATTTGCTAAAAATAAAAATAATTTTTTTATCAGTTTATTTTTTATTTTATTTTTTACCTTCAAGACTTTCTGATTCAGCTCTATTCAACTCAGAATGTAATTCGCTTAATTTTTGTTCGGCGAGATCTGATCTTTTTGGTTTACGTTCTTCTCTTTCAATTTTATTCCATAATGCTTCTTTTTTACTACGTTGCTCCTTCATTCTATCTTCTCTGGTACGTATTTCTTTCAATTGTGCACGATATTGTGCAAGTTTATTAGCTGCGATTTTATAAATATAATTATGGTTATGATAAAATTATAATTATTATAATTCCCAAATAATTTTTATTTAACAATACCTAAAATTCCTTCGGCTTCTGATATTTTTACTAATAAAGTACCAACTTTATCTGTTACATCAGCCAAATCAACATCTTCGCTTCTTCCCCAAATATTTAAATACTTTGCTGCTTCATTTTGTTCCAAAGTTAAAGTACTTAATGCATTCCATACTCCTCTCTCCGATGTCAATAATTTATTTAAATGTTTGGTATCGCTGTTTGCTTTATGCAATATAATATAATGAATTAAATAATATTATATAAAACAAACAAAATTTGCCAAAATGGAATAATATAAACCTCTAGTATTTACTGAACTAAGGTTGCGTCGAAGGTCATTTGTAATGTTGTCTAAATGAAGATTTTTTATCGCTTTCATTTTTTTATTTAAAAAAGAAAAGATTTGTAATCTTGTATCGTCTATGAAGATCAAATTTAGTAATATGTGCCACATTTTTTTTATTGTACAAAATAAATTGTTTACAAACAAGGGAAGGTTCTGTTTTCGTAATATATTTATAGAGCAAATATTTGTTTAAATTGGTAATGTGGCCAGGTCAACATTTGTCTATAATGATGGTTTTCGCATATACATTCTTGCCAATTTTCAATGACATCAGTCAAGAATTTCTTTGTATATCCGAAGTATGCGTCGACAGAGCTTATTCTTTACGCTTATTTGAACAGGACCCATTTGCTTTGAATTCTGTATGTAATAGTCTACCTATGTGCCCATTCAGTAAATACACCACAGGGGTCTAACAGCTCTCATTCCTGGAGCAAAAGGAATGCTCCATTCTCTTTTCTCTCAAACGATTTAGGGATAGGCAGAATTCATCGAGACGGTTCATGCACGGTCATATTTTATTGCAGATATTTATTTCCTCGCTTGATTTAATGCCTTTGAATAATGTCCATTTTTAATAACAATTAGCTTCCTTTTTTGGATCTGTAGGTCAATCATATTGCTGTCTATAATAATAATAATAATACAGAATCTTTGGATTCAAATTTTTCACATAAATATTTTATGAAAAAGGATGATTCGTCACAACAAACCAAGGAACCAATAGCTAATATTTTTTTAGAGAATGTTGCCAGATACTTGTTATTTGTTTATGTTGTATTCTTCCGTGTACTAGCAATCCCGAGAATATGAAAATCCTATTTTATAATAAAACTCTCCGTGAATAAAGCAAACAACTTGTCAAAAAAAAGGGAAAACATGTTAAAAATTGATTGCTTATTATTATTGCCAGTAATTGAAAATTTATGACCTTAAGTCGTTACGAAAAGGTGTCTTTTCTATACAACGTTGAAAATCATGATTTCGAGTTAACACAACTCTTATATGCAATTCTTTAGATGGGACATTCTTGGATTAGAAACCATGCCCACTTTGCATAGTGATTATAATTGTTAACATGTTGTAAAGCTTTACACAGTATCTAACACATGATTTATCACACATAGTAAAAAAAAGCAAGCTTTTAAATGGAAGAACCTTTGACACCACCAAGATCTTATAGATGTATCGATTAGAACTTGAGATATAGCCATTTAATGTAACAGGGCCAAATTTTGGGGTTTCGTCATTTCTACCCTGATAGGATATATAAAGTAAAGATTAGTCATAGATAGATAGATAGATGATGGGGAAATAATTTTTCTGGAATAGAGCATATGACCTCAATTATAATTGTCTGCGACTATATTATACCTTTAAGGGATGAATAATGTCCATTATTTCTTTCCCTAATTCAATAACACAGGCGCGGTGATAACGGCCAACCAAGGAACTAAATTTAAGTGTTGAGCCCATCTTTGATGTCTTGTCCTTGCTGGAATATCTATTTATTAAAAAGAATTACACGAATTTTTAATAAAAAAGAAAAACAAACAAATAAAATAAATATTTGGTTGAGTTTGAATTACCATTTCAATCAGAAACTCGTTACAAAAATTATTTACCTGAAACAAACAAATGCAAAACTTGCAATAAAATACCATTTAAGTCCTGGATTTTCCTGATTAATTAATAACAATAAATAAATTCTAAATTCTGCGCTTTACACAAAAATTACAGGTTCAATTCTTGCGAGGATTGTGTTTATTATTAATTAATTATGACGTAGCTATTGAAAAATGTTATTATATAAACGATATTGTTTCGCCTCTTCATCAAAAACTTTGAAAATTTGTATTATTAAAATTACCATATTAGTAATTGTATATCAACCCTAATAATAATAATTATTATTCTAATTATAGTTTAATTCTAATCAGAACTTTTTATGATGCCAACTCACGCAAATCATTATATCACCAAAGATTTTGATAAATTTCATGTCGAAAGTTTAGTTCTACGCGTTCAAGAATCCCACCGGGATCAAGTATTATTCCGAGCATCCGAAGATTGGGAGAAACAACTTTCCAGTGATATCACCAATGATTTAGTCACAAGTTTAAAAGTTCATCATGAACAATTAGTCGATACCGGTGATAAAATAGCCCAATTGATTTCCAGAGTTGCAACTGGTACCTGGTCACCTGGTATTCTTCCGCAAAATGTCATAAAGGATTTGAGTATCAATTTCCCAATTTACATCTCCGATTTCTATGATCAGTTGGCTGGCTGGTCAAGAGAAAATGCTTTCGATCAAGGCGAAGAGATAAAAAGAATCGGAAGTGATGTCAGCTCTTTGGCTCAATCAAGACGACCTTACGACCCTGCTTTAAGTGGTTTCGAACCCGAACTAACTGGAAAATTTGGTGATTATATGTTAATGCGTAGAATGTGCGTGTGTATGCATGTTAATATTGGTGTTATTTTTTTTTAATCCAAAAAAATTTATTAGCAAATACTTCTTGGGTTCTGAATCAAAATAAACTCAATTTCGGAATCAACACGTCAGCCAACAGCCCTCAATTCATTGTAGCCGGAAATGTCTCTGCAGCACCAATTAGTTCAGTCTATCGTTATTTCGGATTCATCGATCAAAATAAACGTGCTCTAACAATGAAAGCCGATGGCTCAGTCGTCAAAGATCTTTACGATCTTAGTAATCCTGCTCAACAATGGAGAATCGGTATTTATTTATTTTTTATATTTGTTCAAATCATGTGATCATTATATATTTAATCACGTGAACTTTATTATTAGAAAACCATGGTAAATATTATTCATTGTACAATAAAAAATATAAAGTTCGCCTTGGAGTTTATGATGGAAATGAAATTCGTTCTGGTAAAATGTATGTAAATTTTATGATGATATCTATATGATATAATTAATCTGCGCATATTTATATCGTAATTTGATTTATAGTGCACAAAATAGTTGGGATCGTTCAGCTGTATTGCTTGTCGAGGATCCATTGACTTATAATTATTCTATTGGTTATACAAGAGATAATTTGAATATCGAATATCCTTCACTCCTTAAAGATTTAAGATTAGGTATATATATATATATATATTTGATAATATAAAATATTTTTTATTATCATTATTAAAAACAATATTAATTTTCTTTCTCTCTTTCCCCATCAGTTACTTTACCATTAGTCGCATGGAAGAATTCATCAGGTCAATTTTTAACACTCACCAACGATCAACATGGTGATTTATCATTTACAAATGGAGAAACAACTCATGAAGGAGTTGCCCCTAAATCCGAACAATTGTTTATGTTTGTTCCTCATCCTGGTAATATATGTTTTTGTGTGACTAATGATTGATTATGTTAGATATTATTATTGTTGTTGTTATTATTGTTATTTTAACAATAATTATTATAATTATTTTGATAGATTTTATTGAGAAATCTGTTATCATTGGTAATAATGGAAAATACCTTCAAATTGATCCATTAAAGAATGGATCTGCTACTATAAATTATGATTTAAAAGATCCAAAAAAATTGGTCTATGCATTATTTGATTATGATCAAAACATTTATTCAAGGCAATTAACTATAATTAATTCATTCATCTAATTAACATTACAATTAGTGGATTGTTTAATTGTCATATTCTCTTCCTAACCGCACACATATTTCTGTATTATGTAATAATGTAGGAGTGCACAATATTTAGCATCAAGATTACCTCAAACAGCCTTGGTCTCAGCAGCTCCACCAGCTGGTAAAGGTTCAAGAATAAATATATGGAAAGCCGATCCTTTCGTTAAATCAATCGGTATCAGATCGCTTTACTTTCCTGGATCTGATATCACCACCGGCCCAACCGACTCACTGCTCATCACCAGTTCAACTTCTGGACCAATTGCTCCTGATGTAAATGGTGATTTCCTACTGAATTTTATTGAAGACAACTCTCAAACTCCACCACCATCAGCCGAACAAGTCAAATTTGATGTTATGCACACTTTTGCTGTTGTCAAATACACTTTTGGTTTATTAACAGGTGATCTCGAGTATCTTGATGGCAAACCACCAACACTTAATAGACCATGGGGAAACAAAAAATTAGTAATACAACCACACTCTGGAACCAATTTCATTCCATCCAGGGGGGAGGGAGTATTGAGATTTCTTTATGAACCAAGACCAGGACAAACTCCAATATATCTTTGTCGATCACTTGATATTGTAGCTCATGAGACAGGTCACCTTTTCCTTGATACAATACAACAAGGCTGGTTGTCTGATGGTCAGACCGGAGCTCTTCATGAAGCGTTTGGTGATTTGTGTTCAATGTTTGTCACTCTTTCAATGCCAGATTTGGTAGATAATCTGATCACTTTTACAAAATCAAATCTTAGAGACACTGATAATTTCTTGTCGGCTATTGGTGAAGAATTTGGCGATTATTTGTACAAGAATAAGGGTAAAGGTTTAAGAAACTTAATAAATGATGAAAAAGGTTCAACAGTTGAGAGTGAAGTACATGCAATGTCTTTGGTAATAAATAATAATTAATTAATTAATATATATATATATATACACATATGTATCTATGATGATTATTAATTTTTTTAAAAAACTATCTTTAATAGGTATTCAGTGGATTTATCTATGATGTACTTGTTGATGTGTTTAACTTGGAAAGAAATCCAGCTATTAGAAGTGATGCTCTGACTTTACTTCAAGTAGGAGAAACATTAAGAAGAGCATTCTTGATAGCGCTCAGAGTATCATCTAGTCAAGCAACCAATCAAAAATACCAAGAAGTTGCTGTCAATTTACAAACTGCACTTGCTACAATTGGTAGAAGAATAAATGCTGATTTGAGTGGTTGGATAGCATCAGTTAAAAGAAATGCAATTGCACGTGAATTGACCCTTGCTGGTACTAGAGACAGCAGATAACTAATTAATTCTCACAAGAGAAATATTCATGATCTATTTTTATATATTATAATTTATGTATATTTTTTATTTTTTTTTGCGCCATGCACACAAATGCATTCTACACACAAGATTTTTAATATGCAAAAAAAAAAAAATAAACTAATAATTTCAGCCATTAAAAACTATAATGTACTAATATTAATTATGAATGAATTTATACCAACCATCAAGTTTTTATAGAACATTCCCGATGTTACTGGGGAGAGAGGAGGAGTAAGAGCCGATGTTGAAGCTAACATAAAATTGGATTCTAGTATGCATTGCCAGCTTGGAAAATTAGTATTAAGTATATTAAACAATGAGCACAACAACAAGGATTTAGATCAGAAAAACTTGAAAGAAGACAATTTCCTGTTTGTATTTGTGACGGTACCAATAAAAAAAGATGCGGAATCAAAACCATCTAAATCACAAAGAACAAACTGTAATTGGCATTTAAATCTCTTGTGTCCTATCTAAATGGTCTCATATATCACTACATTTGGACACTTGATCCCTCTGCAAGAAGATTTGAGTCAAAAAGCATTTATCAAAACTATCTTAAATGATATTGAATGCGTGTGTGTAGATGGGCATTTAAAACCTCTTGCAATATTAAATTTCGTAAAATAAATATACCATACATGTGTACAAAACTTATTTTGTAAGCACTTATTTTAATAAAATGTCCTTCACTAAATTATAACATGAGATAGAAGAAAATTAGTAGCTAAAATTTGTAATGAAATGAATGATGTTGCTCGTTCTGCTTCCCCAACTGCTCCTGACAGAGAAAATAGAAAAAGTTACTTTTTGCAATTAATCAAAGAAACTTAGAAAATGAAAAGGAATATTGTAGAAGAAGGGTTATTTATTCCTTTGAATTAGATAACACAATTAATAGATATGGTGAACCAAGAGACAATAATTGTAAAACAACAAGATACTCTGATAAATATTGCGAAAAGTGCATTAGTCTACACTTACAGAGCCTTTTCAGTACTTGGACATCTGGAAACAAGATAATTGATGGTTTTATTCAAGAATGCCAACCACATAACAACATTAAAATAACAAATAGTACATTTTAAGTAATTTTGTAACAAACTCTAGATGATCAATAATGCTATGTCATTTTACAGTCTTTTGTATTTTGATATACTCCTCTTCTTTACACCATTTGGGTTTTGCGGCATTTAATCTGCAACGGATAATACCAGTGTTGGAAATTGAGTGCGGGGTTTGTGTTACATATCGAATTTAGCCAATCAACGTTAAAATTTCTACCAGAAGAACAAATTTGATTGGCTAAAGTCAATATGTAACACAAACCCCAGCACTCAATTTCCAACACTGATTCTTTGCGAACATAGTAAAATATATATACTAAAAAAGAATAGAACTCAACAACCATCAATATTTTGAAAAAAACTCTCAGCTTGGGTACTAATCTATGTCATAACAGAGCTATTTTTTTAAAAATGATATGTATACAGAAATGAACTTCTGTTCTTTTAAAATCACATACAGAATTGGTGGTTTAAAAGGTCCCGCACCATACAAAAAAAAAATTTATAAAATAAACATAAATATAATAATACCAACATAAATATGATAATGACAAAATGTAAAAAAATTTTTATTTGAAAAATGATTTAATGCTAATTTGTGCTTGTTTTTAATTCTTAATAGTCCCAATTTTCTTTTTAATGATTTAAGAATTTTAGTTTTGTTGTAATCAATTTCAATATCACCTTGTTGAAGAAAATCATACATTGTTTCAATGGCAGCAGTAGCATCACTACTCGAAACTTTAGTTTTAGATGTGGATGTACTACTTTTATCAGTTTCTTCTTCTGCTGCTGGAATAAATGAAGCAATAATTTCTTCTTCAATTATCATTTCATTGTCTTCCCACCTCATTATCTATTGAAATATATTCTTCTGCTGCTAATGGTGAAGTAAATTGCAATATATTGATTAAAATTCTGATTTCATTATTTTGGTTGTTTGAAATATCTTCTATTATATTTATAGAATTTTCTATTTCTTTGTTGGATAGTTTCCACATCTGATAAAGGAATAATCCCAGTTTTTTTCCAACAATTAAAAATAGTTGTTGATGTTACACTATTCTAGGACTTAGCAACATAATCTATTGCTTTTTTGATATCAATTGGTTTTGGATCTGTAACAGTTTGTGCTAGATCATAATTTTTAATTTTCTTTTAAGTAATAATATTCTATAGTTTGCCTGCAATTTATTAATTATTAACATCAATGTAATTTAATATTAATATTGAAACTAAGAAATTTACAAACCTTGAAACTATGAATTATTCCAGCATCACATGGTTGTAGGTGTGCAGTTATATTTGGAGGAAGGTAATGAAGTTTTACATTTGTTAACTTGAAATTATCCATTAAATTATGAGTTGGGGTATTATCAACAAGCAACAATATATTTCTATTTTTAAGATGCATTTTATTATTCAAATTTTTTAGGTAATCATTCCATAAGTTGCATCCATGCCTTACTGTTCTAATAATAATCAACAGGCAATGTGCTTTTATCAACTCCTCTTAATGGTCTTGGGGTCTGATGTTTATGAATAAATAAAGGTTTTAATTGACGATCTGTCTATGAATGAGTGAGTTGTACATAGTGATCGGCAGGGGAAAATTGACACAAAAATGTCCAATTCGATAACTTTGCACGAAAAGTTGTATTATGCCTTTGTTCCACTACATAATTTTTCTTGGAATATATATATGTAAAAATCTCAAATATTATTGATATATATTTTTTTTGTACATTGTATTTAAAGAAAAAAAGCTTATAATGGGGGATGTAGAATTTTTTGGTCCTTTTGATATATAATTATTGTGTAACAACATTTGTATTGAATACAGAATTATTATTATTACTAATACTTCATAAACAATTGCCTAAGTAATTTATTTTGCCATAGATTTGAAGTAAGTTGATTAGCCTTGATCTTCAGAGATCTGCTTTTTCAAGTATATAAATGTAGTTATGAAATAATTGAATGTATACTCTTGAAGATGCCAAACATGTTGGATATAATAGGAATGGAACTGCCTTTCGACCGAATATAAAAATTGTGATACATGGTGTCTCTATTGCTCAAAATATAAATGTGAAAATTTATGCCGTAAAATTATAAGTATCTTGGACCACAATCTGAAAATCGCAAACCAGATTTTTTAAAAATACCAGAACATCCGACTGGATTACAACTTGATATTCCTTATTAGGACTATGTTTTTGCTATAGAAGTACAGGGACAACAAGATGAAAAATATATCGAGCTCTTTCACAGGAATCCAAAAAATTTTATCAAACAGCAAGAGCGGGATCAACTCAAGAAAGAATTATGTGAAGAGAACTGGATTGTTTTAAGGTATGTTTGGTATTACGAAGACCCATATGTAGTTATTTCAGAGCATCTTCGAGAATTGGGTCTTATTGAATAAACTTGAAAGAATCACAATGTTGTATGACAATGGCACAGTATTTTTTCTTTCAAAACATATGCATTATTTAATTATTACTCCAATCAAAATGCGAACATTATCAAATAAGCAAATTACAACTTATGAGCGAATCTAATACTGTTATCTATTAGTAACTTTAGAATTCTTAGAGGGCGATGCTTCAACTGGTGACTCTGTTGTATTGATATGGTTTTGGACATAGTTAGGTGTTATCTTTTGTATTTTCAAGTAATAATACATGATTCGGCTCTGTTGTATTTCAAAGATGAGGTTATGAGTATATAAAAATAATGCATTAGATGCATTAAACTAGCAGTATCAAAATCTAATGCCTTGAACATATAGACTTTCTCGATGACTTCTTCTAGCGCATATAATTGATCTTTGGAATTTGGAATACAAAATTCCGTTAATTTATCTACAATGTAAAGCCCTCCATGTATATTATGCATGACATAAATAGTAAAAGTTCGTTCTAAAGTTGATCAAAATAAAATTAGAAACTCTTAATAATATAATATCAAACATTAATTCATATTGCTTACGGTAAACGATTATCCCATACGATTCTAGACAAACAAGTTGATCTCCAGTAGCACCACGTTGGGTATGATGTTGTCGTTGATAGAACAGCGAGATCTGCATTGCTATCAGATAATGTCATATAAGATAAAATTATGACAATAGATCACTAACGGCATGGTGACTAACTTACCTTTTAATACTTTATCAAGATCACCATTTAACTTTGTGATATCAACAATAAGAGCATTACCAACCACTTCTAGAAAACCTATTCAAAAGTCATTGCATTGACGTTTACTTCAAAAATACCATCTTGATGGCATCCAATACTAACTCGTTGCACATACTGGCGAGTTTCATTTCGTTGGGTTTTATTTAACATATTTTCGATCTCTCCACTGTAAGTAAGTTTAGATATACAAATTTGTTAGATATTAATAAATTCTAATAAATGATGATAAAAAACGCCAAACCCACGTTTTTACTCGAATAATATCCATTATGTCATCAAACAATTTTGCAACAATTGGGTTAATGAAATTTTCTCTATACGATAGTTCTACTTGATTAGGGTCTAATAGTATATTAACAGGCGCTTTAAAGATAAATAAACTAAAAAAAAAAATAATATTAGAATACATTAAATACATTATGCATCAGTAATTACACTCTTATTACATACAATCGCTTGTATAGATCTTGAACCCATAATGAGTCGTGATGTTCTCTATAGTTGAATGTTCCTGTATATGGTCTCTCAGTAATTTCTTCAATTGCGAGATCCAAAGGAAAATCGTCAAATACAGATTTCGGCACTAAGTTTTTTTGATACTTTTCCACAAGAGGTTTTATGACTGCATTCCATTTCTCCTGGCGGATTGTCTTGTGATTTTCTTTTGATGGCTCTAGCTAAGGAGAGTAAATAATAATATTAGAACCTCTCAAATTTAAATTTGAAGTATCATTGTACAATCAGAAAACACGTACTGAGTCCCAAATTGTTTTTAATAACTGTTTATTAGCTTTTGTTAATATTTTTTGTACAGGGCTCGAAGCATTTCGGTCAGATAAATTAATGATCCGATACTGAAAGAGGCGATAATCAGATTTATTTATTTTTTCAATTATTTTATCGAGTTTATCTGTTGTATTCTGTAAAGTAAAACATAGATCAGATAAAGTACACCATCATATTACAGTTGTACAAATAAACGTTTCTACCTCATGAGATGACTGAATATCTTTTATATAAGTATTTTCATTTTCATGTTGTTCTTGATTAGAGAAGACATTTGTAGATGGAACAGAAAAATTTTCTTCATCACTAGATAATACTTCAAAACTGGATGATGAATCGTTATTTTTTCCCACTTCTGTTATATCAGTGGCCCTGATCTATAGACTCAAAGGTAACCAAATGGTTAAAAGATGTTTTTGCCATTCAGATTTAAAATATATACTAACTTTATTTGGTGGAGTTGATAATCCTTCTTCGAAATCATTCAAATTCGAATTGTGTCTTTTTTTTGCCAATACTTGAATACGCTCATCCAACAAATTAGTCCTTATTTGACAAGCATTTTGTTCCTAGATAGTTTGCAAAAAAAAACAAGTTAATAATAATAACTTTACTAAACTTATTTAGAATATAGATAACTGACTTCTTTTTCTTGTAATATAACTTGAGCAGTTTTAGTGCTATTTTTTTCTTCGCGAACACGTACGGAAACCCAAAAGCGTAGTGTAATGGGGGTTGACAATCTCGCTAAAATGAGCAAGCAGTCTTTGAGCAATTATAGCACCTTGTCCATTTTCAGATACAATAGAACTTAATGCATTAAATAAGACTTCCTCCGCCTGTTTCTTTAGATCATATGGAAAATCAATCTTTTTATAAAATGTAGTGGCATTAAAATGGGTTGATTTTGTTAATAAAATTTTTTTTAGAACTTCGACATAATCCTGCATGTAAAAATGACAGTAATATGTTAGTGTCGCGAATCAATTCAATAACAATTAATTATATTGATGCAAACCATGATGCTGATCTCCAAAGAAATAATACAAATTAATTAGTAATAAAATTTCTGTTAATCACAACTTTAATTCAACCCGAAACCCTCTCCAGATAATGTAAGATCGCTAAATTAACAGCATAATAAAAGTCTGTTGCTATTTTAGCCGTTCAACTTCACAAGCACAGAGGCAGGCGTACCTCCTCAGGTCTTACAGGACGGGGAACGCTGGGTATAAGAGCCAGAACCTTACACATCTTTCGAAAACCGATATTCATCCGTTTCAACTTCACATACCAAAGGCAGACGTATCTCCTTGGGATTTACAGGACGGGGAAACGCCGGGTTGCAAGAACATAATAAAAAAACCTTACTTTAAATAAATTGGCGCAAAATTACAATCGAAGGCCACTGTGACGGAAGGTTTGTCAGGAGCAAAAAAAATTATTATTATTATGCACACAAGAGATCAATCAGTTATACCAGACAGGAAAAAATTTTCGGAATGTATAGTAATAGATAGATATATTAATATTAATATTATGGTGAATTTTTAAGGAATAAAGATGATTATTAATTATTTTAAAAATGGTTTACATATTACAAGATGGTTTATAGGGGAATGTCGCACAAATAAATTATGACATACAGAATTTCTACGCGTTATACAGATTAATCTATAGTCATCATATTCAAAATTCTCAATACTTTCCCACATGGTCTTCTCATCTCCTGAATGTCTTTAATACAAACTAATTCACGCATATTAGTGTATCATTAAGAGTAATTATGAAAGAAACAATCGTTATTCCTAAGTACAAACCGTATGCATTTCATTTTTCGTTACATTTACAAGCCATGGTTTCTCTACATTCTATATTTATAAATTTATATTGAATTCAGATCTCTTTGAAGCAAAAAATATAAGAGAATATATCATACTAAAAGATTGATCTTTAATGAAGAACGAATATAGTCGCACGTGTCTGAAGCCTAAAAAAGAATAATCAATTAGCCAAAGAAAAAGTATGTACATGAGGTAATTAATCGAATTTGGTTAATCGTGTAAATAAACATGTATAATTTATATAGTCGCACTACATTTCGGATTGCAAATATTTATGTATGTCGTACAACTTGATTTTTTAGAAGACAAAAAATAAGAATTCGATTCATTTTATTTAATGATTTTAATCAAGCGAAATAAAATAAAGATACATGGATAATAATAATAATATTGATTTCTTACGGCAGAGTTGCAAGGGAGAGAACGTACGGCCCCTAGACCATTT